TAAATATGCTAAATACATTTGTATGTGCTACTATTATTTGGCTCGACCAAAATTTAATTTGAATTAAACTTTTTTCCATGATAACGTGAAAAAATATATCATGCAAGGACTGTATTTTTAAAAATGTGTAGCTTTCCTGTGCTTGGAATAAACAAATTATGGAACAAATATATTTATATTTGCTTTTTAAAATGATTTCTGATACTTGAGTGCATTGGACAGTCAAGCAGGAAGTGACAAACAGGAAATGAGTCTAAATTTTAAAATAAAAAAATCTAAATTTAAGTCATTATTCACTGAAAATCACGTTTAATTTTAAAAGTAAAAAAATTTGAATAGTCGTGATATGAAAATAAAATTTAAAACAAATGGTTATAATTAATTAGAAACTTGTTTTTAGAGAAATCTCAGGTGACCAGTTTCTTTGGCAATTCTTGTTAATTAAAACTAAAACCATTAAAACATTTTCCTTACTTGAAATAAAATAAACAGTAACTAAAATCAAATATAAAAATTGTATTTTATTTAGGTTAGTTACCAAGGCAACATTTCTCATTTTTGTTTAGCTTAAACTGAAACAAATAAAAATGAATGAAAACTATGTGGACATATAAAAAAACAATAATTAAAAATATTAATAAAAGCATTAATAAAATAAAAATTATAATTAAATAAAAAATGTGAAAGAGATTGTAAGCATGGGTTGTATTAAAGTGTGTCTTGTTTGATGAGGACGGGGTCTGAGACGCGGGACATGAGTCCTCCAGAAATATTTAAAAACTCTTCTTTTCAGCTAATTTTAAGTTATCTGGAAATACTAAAATAACTAAAAGTAAAAGTTAATATTAAAACTATATAGACAAAACAATAACAACTAATAAAAGTGACAGAAACAAAATTACAAAAACTAACAAAAATTAAAACGAAAATGGAAAATATAAAAACTAATTCAAAATATAAAAAATTTAAAAAATTGATTTGTCATGATACGAGCCCTTTTAAAATAAAAACATTAAATATTTATTTTTATATTTAATTGTAAACCCTAATCAATCTCAAATTTCTAGAGTGTTAAAATCTGTTAGGGTAGTTGATTAGTTTGCAGGTTATTGTTGTTAACTAAAACTAAAACCATTAAAAAAAAATTCGTTACTTGGAAGAAAATAAAATTTAAAATAAAAAACAAAAACTTCAATTTGATGTGCTAAAATAACTTGAATAAGCTGAAATAAAATAATATTGAAATAATAATATTATGATGTTGTGAAAAGCCATTAGTGTTTTTGCTTTGTCTAATCTGGTTAATTATAATGAAATAATAATCATCATAATAAAATGTAATATTAATAATAGTATGAAAATGAATATGAGCTAATAGTCATAAAAAAGTAATAATAGTAATATTAATATTATGTAATGCTTAAAATAATAAATATGTTGTAAGATGCCATTAGTGTTTTTACTATATATGGGTCAAAGATGAAAAAGGGTTTAAGCATAAAAACAATAAGTGTAATACTGCTTTAAATTGTTGTTGTTTTTCCCCCCCAAAATTAAAAAATTTAATTGCAATTTTGTTTTTGTTTTTCCGAGCAAAAAATAAATATCATACATTTTTCCCTGATTTACAGAAGACACACACTAAAATGTCATTCAGTGTAACAATCCTGTCAGGAATATTTACAACAAATATCAATTTATGACATATTAAAAGACTAATTACGTTCACCCCAAATACTAATTAGTTGTAATTTTACATTTTTAAAATTTGCCACTA